TCTGTCTCTTCTTCCTCAAAACAAACAGAAAAACACAATAAAATTTCAAACACAATAAAAGACACTTCTTCCGTAAAAGAATGTGAACTCATCAAGACGTCATTTTTGTCCGCTTGGACTGCTAATCAGAAAAACCTTTTTCAGAAGGAATAAAATCAACCAAGACAAGCTTGTGTCGTACGTGGCCCGAACTACGTTTGCTCTGATCTTCCATGCTGTGTGGAAGTACGTAGGCATAGGATGCGATATCCTAGAGAGCAACCTTCCCCTCCTTTCCCGTAGGTAGGCGAACTACGTTGACTCTGATTTCTCGTTCCAGACGGGAATACGTAGGCATAAAGTGCGATACTTTGCCGAGTCATTTTATTTTCATTTTCTTTTCTTTTTAACCCTTAACCCTATAGAGTAGATAGAATAACAATCCATACCCGAAAGCAAGCGTGGATCCCGTCGAGTACGACGGACGTGAGGGGTGCTCATACCTTCCCCTTGCGTAACCGACTCCCGAATCCAGGTTTTGGTTGCGACGACCATACCTTTCCCGTGTTGTGCGAGGTTTACTCTGAGCGTTTCCTTTCCCTCCTGTGGGATAAATAACGCACGGTGGCGACTCTTCTGTTCAGCCGGCGCCGATTTTCGCAGTAGCGACAGTAAGTCCTTAGTAGTTTATCCTAGAATTCGACTCCGGCCTAAGCATGCTCTAAGTGAAGGACCGATGAATATAAGTGAATGATCTGTATGTTCAATAAAATAATTGCAACTCGGGTATAAGTAACCCTCACAAGGTCATTTAACCCAAAAAGTTGTAAAAATTTCGAATATATATATATATATATATATATATATATATATATATATATATATATATATATATATATATATATATATATATATATATATATATATATATGTACAACAAAACAAAAATAAAATATCTTCCCATTGTTAGTTGGTCCAGAGGTGTCTGGTGATGAGCTCAGTAGGGCGGGTTACGATCAGATCCCCCACAAGTACAATTGGGTCAATAAAAGGGGTTACACTAGAGAGAAACTCTTTGATTGTTGAATTTACATAAGAAGAAGTTCGTAGAGCAGTATGGGAATGTGAAAGTATGATAGGCCTAAAATGTATTATATATTTGACTCGATTTTCACGTGTTCCTTAAGATTTTATTATTGTTTTCTTGAGTTATACTTTTGTTTTGTTTCATTTTCAGGATTTTGTATTTCCAGAGCGTCTCAAGAAGAAATAAAGAAAAACGAGCAAAAAGACCAGCTTTTTAAGCGGGCGCCATAGGGGATGCCATAACATGGATAAGAGACCAACTTCTGACAATTGCCACGTCTCCCACTTCTTTCTTCTCTAGTACACATGGTGGGCACCATGAGGGTATGGCGGACGCCACCCTTGCATTTCATTTTCCCTCCCAAAAGAAGTTAGGGGGCATTCTAGTCTTTCCTTGTATTTTCCTAGCACTATAAATAGAAGAGTTCTTCCTCATTTCTAAGCATCCAAGCTTAGTTACAAAACTCAGGCCATAAATTTTCATCTCTTGTAAAGTGATAAACTTCTCACATCGGGTAGTTATCACATTGTCTAATCGAGTCGAGTTTGGAGCACTTTGGTAGAAGTTAATCCTGCCGCCTTTTTATTTTCAATCTTTTATTTCAAGTTGTACCAGATTTAAAACCTCCCGATTGGAGCAGGTTTTTATTTATTTTTTCGCATTTATTTCTTGCACTTTATTTACTCGCATTTTATTTACTCGCACTTTGTTTATCGCATTTATTTACCATGTCTATTTACGCTTTCATGTCCGGCTAAATCTTAGAGGTTAGGATATGAGGATCATATTTAAAGTGGTATTCCATATAGTTGTCGATAGAATCACTTAGGGGTTATTTTGACTTTTAATACATATTTTCTGCATTTAAAATCTGTTGGGTAAAATCGAAAGTTGTCCAACCTTTAGTTAAACTTGGTTAGTCTTAACTGTTCAAAATAAGCGAAAGTGCTTGGTCCAGTTAAGTAGGAATCTTTAATACTTTAAAAAAATGATTTTAAAACTATTTTCGGACGCGTTTATGGGTTTAAAGTCTGGTTCGCATGAACCTCTTTTTGTTAGAAATTCCAAGTCAAAATACTTTTCAACTAAGTTAAGATACTATATTTCTTAAAAATAGGTTTATTACGTGCCTTTTTATAACTGACAATAAGAGGGATCGATTAGGGGATAAATTCGGTTATGAATATGCGAAAGCGACAGTTCCAGTTAAATTATTTCTTTTCACGTAGAAAACATTACCCCACAAGAAGTTCTATTTACACGCACTTGGAATACTACCCAGCTATGTGAATTACATCCAAGCCTGTTGTTATAAACACCGTAACAATAGTGATCGATAGATTGACATTTGGTCTCTGTGAGATCGATAATCTTTTGTATTACTCAGACGCTATTCGTATACTTGCGAATCGTGCATCAAAGTACTAAAAGTCTGGGTCCAGACAGAGTGAATTTTGGGTTCATCAAAGATTTCTAGGACATTATCTGAACTGATTTCATGAGGGTCATGGCTGAATTTCACAAGTTTGATAGAATGGTTAAAGGTGCTAATTGCTCATTTATGGTTTCTCATTCCAAAAAAAAAGTAGCCCAACAAGGATTTCAGAGTCTAGACCGATATCTCTAATTGGGTGTATCTATAAAGTAATTTCGAAAGTGGTGGCTAACACTGAAGAAGGTGATGGAGAACATTGCTTTGGAATCTCAATCGGCATTCATTTCAGACAGACAAATTTTAGATGGGGTTTTGGTGACGAATGAAATTGTGGATGAGGCAAGGCGAAAAAATAGAGATGTTGTCCTTTTCAAAGTGGATTTTAAGTAAGCTTATGATTTGGTAGATTGGAATTATCTGTTTTATGTTATGGAAAAAAAAGGGCTTTCATGAAAAATGGCGGAAGGTTTAAGGCAATGAGATCCCCTCTCTCCGTTCCTCTTTCTTATAGTTTCGGAAGGATTCAATGTTTTGATGGATAAATCAACGGTCATGAGAAAGCTGGTGGGATACAGGTTTGACATAGGGGATCACCATTTTTCTCATTTACAATATGCAAACGGCACTGTGATAATGTGTGAGAAAAGCTGGTCTAACATAAGATGTTTAAAGTCAATTCTGCTATTATTCGAGTCAATGCTGGTCTGAAAGTTAATGTTCCTCGTAATTGGACAGATGAGGCGGCAAAGATTCTGAATTGTAATATAGAAAATTTGCCGATGAATTATCTTGGCATTCCCATTGGGGCAGACCCGAACACTGAATCAACGGAAGAACAATCTTCTATCTATAAGTGGCAGGATGATTCTGCTGAAATCAGTTTTGTACTTTCTTCAAAGCACTATAATTCATCCTTGGGTAAATAGTTTTTATGGGAAGGTTCTGAGAAAAAAAGAAAATTAATTGGGTTAAATGGGAGAAAATTTGTAGACCTAATGAAGAAAGGAAATTGGGGATTAAAAACATTAGACTGTTCAACTTGACTTTGTTAGAAAAGTGAAATTGAAAAGTCAAAAAAGAGTGTACAGGTATTTGGTTTGATGCCTTAGTGAGTAAATATGGCTTGAATGATAGGGCTGTTAACATGGGAGGGGAGGGAGTTTCAAAGTGGTGGAGGAATATAATAGACTTAGACATAAGAAAAAATGTTTCATCTATCGAATATTCGGTGAAAGAAGCGTATAATATGTTGTCGACAATCATCCAATTTAGTTCCAATCAAGCGTAGACTAAGATTTGGAACATGACAATACCTTTAAAAGTGTCTTGTTTGATTTGGAGAATGCTTCAAAACAAAATTCCATCGAAAGATAACTTAGTCAAGAGAGATGCACTAGAGATGGGACAGATTAGGTGCGTGGGAGAATGTGGTAGCGGGGAATCGATTTCTCATTTTGTTTTAGTGTCCTATATAAAGCAGGTGTTTGGAGCTACGTCTGTAACTGGTTTGGAGTTCAAATGACCTTTCTTAATGAAGGATGGAAACATATGGAGCAGTTCGAAAATTTGTCAGATGGAGATAGATAATAGGCTGAAGATGACTGTAATCTGAACAACTTGCGTGTGGAATATTTGGAAGTCCAGAAACAATAGAATCTTTGGAAATGAGGATCTCTGCATTGAGAAAATTGGAGAAGAATCTAAAATGGTAGCTTAGAAATGACTCAAAGTAAAGGCAAATATCATTAAAGATGAATTCTAAAACTTGTCTCAACAATGATCAATTGATAGGGATTAGTCATTAGTCTAGTCTTCAACGGTTCGATTCTGGGTCAGGTTTTAAGCTTGGAGGAATTTATCACTGTTGATTCTTTGTTAATTGGAGGTTACAGCTGGTGGTCCACTGCTGCATTGATTTGCTGTTATTTTTGTTTTGGTTTTCTGCTGTTTGTTGGTGTTAACCTCATTGTTTGTATCAGGTGTTGGCTGGTTTTGTATCACGTGTTGTAGTTTGCTTTCAGTCATTTTCCTGTTGCATTGATCAGTTTTAGTTCTTTGCCTATGCTAGGAAGTTTAATGTTAATTCTCTTTCGCAGTTTTCAAAAAAAACATTTTCTTCTAAATACATTTCATTGACATTATAAAAATAAATAAATCTGACGATTGCAAAATCCATGTTTTTACTATCCACCAGTTTTTACTATCTACCAGCTATGCAAAGAAACAAACTCCAAATACAAAACTATACATGTAGAAAATAAAGCAATGATGGAAATAATAAAGAAACAAGATCAGCGATTAGTTTAATAGTAAAGGCTAAAGCTGACCCTAGTTGTTCTTCCATTATAGCTTGTCTAACCAAAAAGATAACTTTTTTCATGTTTCACCTTTTCAACGTTCACATGAACAAATTGACATCTTAGTTTGTCACTTACCAAATGGCACAAAAAAAAACCAAAATAGTCTAGTAAACTATTTACTGTTATGAACAAAATAAAATCAAGGAGAAAATAAGGATGTTTTGAAATGTCTAATTTTTTTAAGACAATTTTGTGCCCTTTCAAGAACCAAATCAACCCTATCTTTTCTCTTGTTCTTTCTGCTACTAGGGTAATGCTTAACGACAACACTCTTGGGAGATTCAAGCTCGGAACTTTCAGCGCCCTTCTTCTTCTTCTCCTTTACTTCTTCTATGTCTGGTAAAGCAAGTTTTAATCCCTTTGTTTGCTCCAAGTTGGTGGACTCTGTATCACACGGAAAATAACAACCTCAAAAAAAACACATCTAACAGCACAGCGTTAATAGTAACAAGAAGATGAAAAAGGAGAAGAAAAGAAAATAAACCTTCTGTGTCTAAGAAAGCGAGGGAGGTGTGGTACTGTGGAATAGGGTGTGAATAGGAATGTTGAATGATGAAGGATCTAAGTTCGTGTTTGAGATAGTTATGTTGATTTGGGTATAGGGTTTCAAGCATTTTCAACTCTTGTTTTGCTTGTTCTAATTCCATTAAGAAGTGTGTGGTTGTGGTTGTTAGTGTTATTCTTCCACTTCTTTAGTTTTAAATGCTTGTAATAATAAAATAAAAATTAAATATAGTGATGTGAATTGTGATGTGATGGAAGTGGAAACAAAAAGCAGAAAAAGAGGGAGGGAAAACAAAACAAAACATAACATTAGTACTTCTAGTATTTCATTGGCATTAGCGTTGGGGTTTTAGACGTTGCAAATTTATGTCGGTTTTTGTTTGGGTTTCCAAGGGTTTATATTTTATTTTATTTATTGGCGTATTGAATGTAGTTGTTGAGTGGGAAAAAGGACAAGACATTAATTCCAGGGTTTATATCTAGTCTTGGCAGTTGTCTACATTTATATTTACTTTTTTTTTCTCTAAAAAGTAAGCACGTGTCTCTTTTGTTTTCTAAGAAAATAACCATTGAAAATCAGTTTACAAAGGAATGTCCCAATACAAAATTATGAGCGACCCGCATCACATTTTTATTTCGGATTTTTATATAAATCATCTATTTTTGAAATAAAAATCATAAACTACTATACATACTTTAAAATTAAGGAAAATCTTTTAATTTGGAATTTTCTTATTTTTTTAGTCAACATACGAAATTATTTAAATGTTTATAATTTTCGGAGATACATTTTCGAACGGACGTATTTTTTAGTAAACGTTGAAAATATGTGTTTCCGGAACAATTTAAAATATTCAATACATCTTACTCAGAAGTCATTTACATCTAAATTATATCAGAGATGCATCTCTGTGAATATTTCAAAGATACATATCTGAAATGTATCATAACATGTATTTTATACTATGAGTTGTTTATCTATATTCAGATGAAGTATAACGAACGATCGAAAGTAAAAAAAATAAATGTACATAATTCTAAATGAACCAAAAATGCCATAAAAAATAAAATAGTAATATATGTCAAAAATATTGTTCAATCGAGATCCAAAATATAGTAATACCGTCAAAATAAAGTACAGACCATAGTACTACAGCAAAATAATAAGAGACTACTATTGTGTGTGTTGAACAACCTCTCTTCTACCTCTTTTGTCTGCTCTAACTCCCCAGCCATCAATCCCCTTATCATTCGGCGATGTCTTTGGTACAACAATGCCTCATGTATCTCTATCATGATGGCATTTAGGACTCGCCTAACATCAAACCTATCAAGGAAGATAACCTCGTCAATGTTTGTCCGCACAATCTCCACTATGCAATGAAACCTAAGCAAGACATCATCAATATGATCTAGATAAATTTATTTCTCCTCTAGTATCTTCTATTGAGCTTGTGAGTGCAACTTTTCGCTCAGATATGTTTTATATGATGTCAAAACTAGGAGAAACTTTAGCATTTTTGTACATTGGACGATATTAGTTGATTTTATGTGTGCAATGTGCATTTTAGCATTAGGAAGCATGTCAACAAGTTTAAAAATGATTTAGAAAGGATCCATACATCAAGAAAAGACTTTTATGCATAAAAAATTGAGTTTTGTGTGAAAAACACTGTATAGGTCGACACATACGACTTTAGGTCGACGTATAGAAGTTTTTCTTCAGCATAGGTCGACATAGATTGCATAATTTGACACACATGCTTCAATATTGAAGCTTGTAGGCTTTGTCCATATGCTGACTATTTTAGGTTGACACATGACTTTGATAGGTCGACCTATAGACCTAAAATTTTGAATTTTCTCTTTCCTTTCATTTCCTTGTGCATGCCCTTTTCTCCTAACTTGCATACATATAAATACTTGATACATGCATAATTTCTAGTAAGGTTCTAGAGTAGACCTATACGAAATAGAGATTTCAAAGCATTCTCATAACCTTCAACCTCTCTTCTATGTATACACACAATCAAACTACACATAATTATTTTTTGATTGGGTGACCATCTAGATTAGGATTGATAACATCCAATTAGGTTGTTGTACCGAGAATATTGGGTTGAGAACTTTGAGGATTTAAAATAAGAAAATCGAGTTGAGGTTTTCCTTCAAGGTAGTAGCAACAACTGGTGAATTGAAGCGGTGTTGTTGGTTACTATTAGACTATGGCACGGATCTAGAAGGGGGGTTGAATAGATCCCTTGATAAAAATTAAGTCGGCGCTACCAATAAAAATGGTTTTAAAAATTTGTTTAATTTACGGAAGCAGTCGTGGAAAAATATCGTCTATAACGAACGGTTACTAGAAAACCGGATATGCGTTTTAGCCGATGGAATCGGATAACGAGTAATGGGAATCACTACGCTAGTCACACTATCAATTTGATTTAGCTCACAATGTGGTATGACTAGTTCCAATGCCTTAAAATATTACCACAATAAATGGACAACACACAAGGCTTTTCGTTCAAACAATTTATCAAACACTTGGAGTGCAGAGCACTACAAGTGAGTTCCACTTTGAGTAATTTGCTCTAGTTTTCTTGTACAATCAACGATTATACTAGAGTCAAAATCAGTTTAGCACTTATTCAAAACAGTCCTAAATTTGATATAATTGTTTGTACTAAAACCACACAAATATTAAGCAATGTAAAAACGAAAGGTAAAAGGCACAAGGATTTGTTGAGGCAGTTCCCCCGTCGTCCTCGCTTCGGGGTACATCTGCCCTCAATTCTAACAATAGAATTGAGCTCTTATAATATAAATTTAACATGTTGTAGAATCGTATATACAAGAATGAAATAGCAATCAAACAAACGAACTCCCTTGTTGTTGTAGAAGCTATCTCCTTTTGCCCCTTGATTCGAGTCGAATCAAGTCCTTCAACAGCTTGTGAATGAACATCTAATTACAACTCTATGTTTGAATAACCTTCCATCTTCAAACCCTAGCTCGGCTGATCTCAGACACTCGCGTGTCGAACCCGAACCTCTCCTTAACAATCCTCCAATTACCGCTACTAGATCAACGGAACCCACCGTTCCTCGATCACCTTCACTCGGTTGAATTTATGTTGAGAAGACTCGTGCAAAAAACCCCAAATTCAAAGAGTCTCGGAGGACAAAACTCTAGAGGTTTTATTCAAGAAAAACTTGTCAATTCCTCAACCCGAACCGGATTACCCAATCAACTGCTTCGAACGTTATCACCTTAGACAATCCATAATGCACATCAAAGATTATTGTGTGTGATTGTTGCGGTATGAAATGTAGAAGATGAAGATGATGAGAACTTGAATTGACACCTCTTTCACTTTTCTTGTTTTTCTAATTGATTCAATTGATATGAAATTAATAGAGCAATTGAATATTTATACCAGACAAAACTGTTATAACTGATAAAATCACCTTTCAAAAATAATAGACAGATTAGGAAATATGCAGCAAACAGCGAGCGGTCGACCCATGCAGAGTGCAGGGTCGACCTGAGCTAACCCGAGCCAAACAGATTGTGCAAAACACATAGCTATGCGTCGACCGGAACAAGGCATGCGTCGATGCAAAGCCTGAATTTTTAGACAAATGCAAATGACAACAGTGTGCGTCGACCGATAGGTCGACCATATCTAACTCGAGGAAAATGCATTTTTAGGATACATGCCATGAGTCGACCGGAGCAGAGTTTAGGTTGACTCAAAAACCTGAAACTTCAAAAAAATGCTTAAATTCATATTTTTGATTCTCTTAGATGAAACCTATGATAGACCAATTGAGTTTAACTTGTATGATGCATATTTTGACAACACTAAATGCAGTACTCGAGATGTTTAGTGCAAGCAAATAAACATGAGAAATAAGGTATGCTTATGCATCATGGTGATAACTCCAAATGTATATTCTTCCATGCGGCTAGGTTTTGACATCATCGAAACACGCATATCTAGTATATGAGGTTTTACCCTCAAAGTTACTTGATCATGCGCTTGGGATTAATTCCGTCGAGTGAAAGCCTTGAAACAAGGGGTGCCTTGCAAGGAAGTAACAACAACAGGTGAATTGAAGCAGCATGGTTGGTTACTTGATCAAGATTGGTCAAGGATTTCGGAGGTGGTAAAATCAACAACAAATCTAGGGTTTGTAAGGTTAAAGTTCTTCATCTCTTGTATGCACACTTTGCAAAGTAAGATTTATTATAATATCTCAATTCAAATTCAAATTTAGGGTAGACGTACCCATAGCGAGGCCGTTGGAGAACTGCCTAAATAAATCCTTGTGTACTCTCCCTCTCTCTCTCTCTCTCTCTCTCTCTCTCTCTCTCTCTCTCTCTCTCTCTCTCTCTCTCTCTCTCTCTCTCTCTCTCTCTCTTTAATTTTGTGTTTGCGAATTATTGAATTCATTGCTCATTTGGTCAATTCATTTGGGAATTATTTTAGATCACATTTTGAATTAGGTTTGGCTGATATAATCATAATCTGTTTGATTTTGATTGGTTTTTAAGATCAACAAAACAAAGCAAATTTCCAGACGATATTGACTACACACAAAGTGTTTGATAAATTACTTTTTTGTGTTTTTGTGTGTTTTGATCAATGGGAATAAGCTCTAAGTATAACATTGCATTCAATTTTTTTTTATTAATAGTTGTTGAATAATTTGTGTTCATTATCAACGTTTGTGTATCTTTACGCATATCTGAGATTTTCAATAGAGGTTTGGATAGACGATTTTATTTGGGTTGTTTCTGTTGTGCCATAAAACTTTTCAAATTTATTTTTGCCAAAAGGTTTTACATGTGATCTATTCACACCCTATAGATCAAAGCATATCGTCTAACAAGTGGTATCAGAGCTCCGGTTAATTCCATGCTTAAGAGTTTCTTTTTAGAAGAATGGTTACCGAACCAAAGGGAGCATACAATAGAGCACCAATGTTAACCAACAAAAATTATGGCTATTGGAAAGCTTATATGTGTATTCATGTCAACTCGATTGACAAGGGTATATAGGATGCCGTCATAAATTTTCCTAATGAAATGACAATGACCAATGGTGAAGGTGTTACCGTACCTAAATCGGAAGCAC